CCTCGTCGTAGTCGTCGTATTTAGGCATGTGCCACAAGTCCGATACCCAAGTTCTGGCCCCTATATTTTCCAACTGCTTCAGGAAAATCGCGCGTTGTTCGAGAGCACCGTTGTTGTGCGGCACCTTCGCAAGATCTGGGTGGCCAACGTTCTCTGGGGGCGGCAGGTTGTCGAATGTGTCCAAGAGCTCCTGGCGAGCGGGTTCCGAACGCACTGGGCCCGCGGGCCGGGGGCGGGCGGGCGGGCGGGGCGGGGCGGGGCGGGGGGGGGGAGGATGGAAGGATAGGGGCGAGATTCGATAGCAAAGGGGGTCCTCCGCGGCCGCCACGTCAAGTCCTTCCAACAAGCACATGGGGCGAAGCGGCGGCGCGACGCCGACGGCGGCGCCCTCCTGATCGAAGTCGACCTCCTCCTCCACTTCCTCCTTCACTTCCTCCTTCACCTTGACCTCCTGCTTTGCCTCGACCTCCTCCTCGACCTTCGCGCCGACGTCGTCGACGTTGGGCCCGCCGCCGCGGCCGCCGCCGCCGTCGCGGTCTTCCCGGGGCAGCAGGTCCAGCAGCGCGGGGGGGATGGCCTGTCGGAATTTTGATCTCACCTGGCAACTGTGAGCTTTGCATTCGTGGCCGGGTGCCGCCGAATTTGTCGCGTCCCCGCGGACGTTGTGGATCTCGTGGGTCAGGAGGGGCGGCTCACCTGGATAAAAGCAGAGCGCAAGAAGGGGGGGGGGGGCAGGGGGGGGGGGGAGGGCGGGAGCGCGGGTGGAGCGTGGGAGCGGCGGGCATGGGAGAGAGGGGGGGGGGGGGGGGCCCTCAACAACCTCTCCCTCGGATTCTCCTCCTCCGCTCCGCCGCCTCATCATTTAACTTTTCCGCATCCCTGCACCTCCCCCCGCCCCTATCCCTCTCCCTCTCCCCCTTGCCACGCCCCTCTCTCCGCATCCCTGCACCTCCCCCCGCCCCTATCCCTCTCCCTCTCCCCCTTGCCACGCCCCTCTCTCCGCCTCTCGCCCCCCCGCCCCCCGCCACCCCTTGGTGGCAGAACGCAGAGCGGGAGGAGGGGGGCCCGCGGGAGAGGTCTCCTGTCGCTGGCGCCACCGCCGCGCGATGACGCGGCCGCGGACGCGCCCTCGCGCTACCCCTCTGCCCCCCGCCCCTCACCCCCTCGCCTCCTTCCTTCCACTTTCTACACTTTCTACCTAGCCCGTGAGACCTTGCTGTCGCAGCGTCTCGCTGCAAGCGAAATCCAACTGTTCCAAATACTTGTAATGGTAATCGTACCACAACCGGCACTTCATCAAACAGGCGGCGCCTAACAAGTGCTCCCATCTTTGAACCGAGTATCGCGACAGCGGGGCATCGATGTGCGCCAAGAGCGCCTCGCAACCAGCGTGGCCCCTGTTGCGCTTGAAGGCGAGTGAATATCCACCCCCAGTCGAAAGGCGATAGATCTTCGCGCCCTGATTGGGCGGGTGGGAGCTGAACAGATGAATAGAGGAAACAAGAAGTCGGCTCGGGCGGGGGCGCGGCGCGGGGGGGGCGAGAAGGGATGGGGATGGGGGGGGGAAGGGTAAATTTAGAAGGGTGCTCCGGTGGGGGCCCGCTCGCCTTCCGCCGGTGCTTGCCTAACTTAATCACCGAACCGTGCTTCAACTCCCACGCGTGCATCCTGGCGACCTTCAGCGCATCCCGAAGCTCGAAACACTTCTGCCTCCAGCGATCCACGGACACGCGAGTTTGCCGCAACGTCCGCCGAACATCAGATAGGGCGGATTTCCGTGCCACCTCGTGGGAGCTCGAACGCCCCCCCTCCTCCTCCCTCCTCATCTCCCCCCTTCCTCCTCCCCCCCCCCTCTCTTGCCTCGCCCATCCTCGTCACGTCACCCACCATTCCTGGACCATTCCTCCTCCTGCTCATCCCCGTCGCCCTCGGCCTCCTCGTTCTATCCGGGGGCCCCCTAGCCAGGGCCCCTAGGGCCCCATCCTCATCTCATCATATTCCTGGGGGCCCTGGGAGGGGCTGAGAAGCTGAGAAGCTGAGAAGGGCCGCGAGTGGCGCTCGAAAAAGTCGTCGCCGTGCGACGCGATGGCAACACAACGCACCGCGATTGCAACGCGATGCGACGCAAAGCAATGCAATGCAACGCAATGCGATGGCAAGAAATGCAACTCCGGGCACCCCGGGCACCCGGGCACCCCTCGGATTGAACCACGCAGCAGCACCATTCTCGCAAGCTGTCGCCGCTGCGCAAGAGATCCACCAGCGGCGCGGACAGGCACGCCGCCAGCGGCCCTGCCGCCGCCTCGGCCCGCGCACCTCCCTGGAACCCCGGCCCCGCCTCGGGAAGCGCCCCTCCCCGCCCGCGGAAGCGGCGCGCGGACAGGGCCGCGCCGCCCCAGGCACGCAGTCGTCGCGCCCTGCGCGCGGAGGCGCTGCCCAACATTTCTGTCCACAACTTCCCAGGGGACGCCGCGAACGTTGAAAATCTCCTCGGGGCGTTCCGAAGTTCAGAAAACGCTCGAACAACGTTTCCACGTTTCTCGGGGACGGGGGGTCGGGGCGGGCGGGCATGGATGGGGGGGGGGAGGGGTGTTGTGGGACGGGGACTGGGGGGTGTGAGGGGGCGGGGTGGGGGGAGGGCTGGGTGGGGTGGAGTGTCTGGGGGAGAGGGGCCGACAGAAGCAAGAGTAGGGCGAGAGCTCCAATTGGCCGAACGGGCCACGTGGCGGGAGCGGGAGTCTGAGCGGGGGATGGTGGGCGCGGTGGTGGGGTGGGGACGGGAAGGTGAGATCCCCGGCTCCTCAACAACTGAACGGAGGTGGGAGGTGTCGAACGGCGCCGCGGGGCCACCGACACCTGGAGGCAGGGTGGACAGATGGGCCATCACCTGCGTTCTCAAGGCAGTCTCCTCCCGTCGATCACGAGCATCGTGGCCGCCGATCTCCACGCTGCACTCTACGACGTGGCGAAGGGAGTTGAAACGACAGCACGGGAAGTCGCCCTCGCTGGGCGAGAACGCGTACCCGTACAGCGCCACTGCGATCCTAATGGGTGGTCGGTCTCATCATTATCCTCATCCTCTCCCTCCTCTTCCTCCTCCTCCTCCTCCTCTTCCTCCTCCTCCGCCGCCTCCTCCTCCTCCTCCTCCTCCTTCTAATCCCCCCGCCCTCCCACCCGCGCCTCGGGCCCTGGCCCTCGAGGTCGGCGGCGGCCGCCGCCGCGGCCGCGGCCATCGCGCCGCCGCGGGGCCCGCGGCGAGGTCGCGGCGAGGGCCGCGGTTTCGAGAAGAAAGTCGGCGCCGCGGTGACGGCCGCGCCGACGCCGACGCCGACGCCGACGCCGACGCCGACGACGACGACGACGACTCACGACGACAGACGACGACTACGACGACGCGACGACGGCGGCAGCGGCGGCAGAGACGGGCGCGTCGAACAGAGAACGACTCGAACGACAATCTCCCGGGGGACACTGCATAAGAACAAAAAAAAAAAAACGGCGAACGCAACTGCGTGAAAACCGTGCAAATGTCAACCGACCCCAACAAGAATCCCCCTTCGAAAATCTAACGCTTAAATAGTCATCGACAGAAAAAAGCACACGGCGACTCCTTCATATACGATCCAGAAACTTGAATTTGCTGGATCGAGCTACGCGCTACTCCAGATTTCTCACGCCGACAAGAGACGTCATATAAAACGAAAATTGATTCTCATTCCCAAATGGCAACAACGAGCGTGCGAAAAATACGGCTTAACATATCTTAATGTGTATTTCCACACTGCGTGTACTTAGCACTGCGAAAATATGATCGGTAACCCAACCCAGCAATAACAAAACCTCTTGAAAATTTCTCTTCCTAAAAACATAGCCGCGCAATAATTCACAAACCCCCAGGTACTTGAAAACAAAATCGTTGAATTCGGAGTGTGCCCAGACCCGGTCGGGGAGCCAAAATCCAATGCTATTTCAACCGGCGTTTATCACATCCCCAGTGATGGTTTATATGGACTTCATCTGATTTCACCAAGTGCGCTCGGGCAAAATCTTTGCCGTATTCGTAACGGATAATTTGCCTAAAACGTGTGTTGGCATTGATGCTGAAATCCTTGCAGCACGTCTGTGTTTGGTATGGTTTCGACATGAGCGCGCGTGTGGCCATTGCAATTTCAGTGCAAGGAGATGCTTGGAACAAAGTTTATGCGGTAAACGAGCACGCGGCCAAATATCCTTTGACAGGGATGGAGGGTGGGGGCGATGACTTAAAGGGACTGCTTGGGATTCGATGGATAAACCGCAGGGGAGAAGAGCGATGAAGCAAAATCATATGAGCATGGCAATGTCCAAGATGGAAGCGATAATGCCGTGTGGGGTGGGGCGATGGGGTGGTGGTGGAGTCGATTTCAAGATTAACAGGAAGAATATGTGCACGCAACGAGATGGCATGCATTGCGAATCCATGTGCTACTAAGCAACACGCAGCAATGCAAAGTGCGAGCCTGGTCTCACGCCCGTCACATTGCAACGATCCCTTGTAGCATATTCACAATGGTGCACGTGGCCGTGCTCTCACACCGCTCATATGGCCACGATGCCTTCTAACACAAGTTCTGTGCACATGGAGGTGCTCTCACACCTCTGTCACATGGCCGCGATCCCCTCGTAAAACAACAAACTCTACGGTGCACATGGCCGTGCTCTTGCCCCTGCCACGTCTGGGAATCCCGAGGATTGTGTAGGTCTGCACGTTTACACTAGCCGACCTCATAATTACTCCTCGACCCGCCTCTTCACGCTTGCTGCAATTAAGGTGCTCTGCCTGGATCACTTTCAGCACCGGTGCGTTTTTAATAGCCCCATGGCCCGAAACGTGCCCCCGGGACGCAAGAAGCATCACCGCGTGTTTTTTGCACGGCGAAGGATGGCTGGATCCCCCACTCCCCCCCTTCCCTTTCTAGGCCTGACGCTGCGCTGGCCAACTTTGGATCCCGTCAGGTGTCCTTCCCATATATCCGCGTGTCGGGCGGCTTGGCGCACATCGCCTTGATCTCGTCCGGACTTGGCTGCTTCTGGTTGTGTTCCTCTGCCACAGGAGGCGGACGAGAGCGTAGGATGGAGGAGAGCGGAGAAGAAGGATGAGGAGGGTGAAGGATGGAGGTGAAGGGAGGAGGGCGCAAGGTGGACGAGGGAGGAGGCGGAGGATGTGGGGCGAGGAGATTGGAGGGGGAGGGAGGCTGGAGGATTGAGGGTGGAGGAGACATGGAGGAGAAGGATTAGGGTGCAGGGTGGAGGGAGGAGGGTGCAGGGTGGAGGGAGGCGTAGAACGAGAACAAGGGAGGCGAAGGTAGAGAAAGAAGTAGCAGGATGATAATATGATGTAGAGGGTTAACGAAACAGGAAGGGATGAGGACATAAACGGCAACATGGCATAACATAAAAACGGCAGGACGCAAATTAACGATGTCAGGTCATTATCGCAACAAGTTCTCATCTACGGAGTCGAGGAGGCATGGACAGGAGAAAGAGGGGAGGATGAGGCCAGGAGGAGACGTCTCGGCTGCTCTTCGGTCTCGTCGTCTGCGGCTGTGGACCGTGGACCGCAACGGTGAACAATGTAAGGGGGCAACACAATGTTCACCGTGTAACAGCGTGCCAATCCTCCTCCTCCTCCTCCTCCTCCTCCTCCTCCTCCTCTTTTTTCTCCTCCTCCTCTTTCTTCTCCTCCTCCTCCTCCTCCTCCTCCTCCTCTTTTTTCTCCTCCTCCTCTTTCTTCTTCTCCTCCTCCTCCTCCTCCTCCTCCTCCTCCTCCTCCTCCTCCTCCCCCTCCCTCTCCACCTCCTGCCCCCATCACACCAGCAACCAGGAGCGTCCCCCGAGGATGCGCTCGCCCTCCCGAGAGCCGCGGCCCCAGGGCTCCCCACCCCCCCTCCGCGGGGGGCCAGCTCTTCGCCCGTTGTAGACCGGATCCCACCAGCCCTGGAGGAAAAACAACGTCCTAGAGACGGGGTCCGAGTACATTGAAGGCCAGTTCACAAGAAACCTTCCACAAGAAACCCAATGCTGAGACTCCAGGACGTCCATGGACTTTCGGTGTGGGAACGTCGCGATCTCCATGGCAAAAGCTTTCGGAACCCAAGAAACCCAGGGCACCCTGGAGGCAAGCAGGGTGTTTCTTGGCATGGGATTCCACTGTAGGTGGGGTCGCAGGATCGCGCCGCATCGCCAATGCATCGCCCATGTGTCGCCGATGCATCGGCGATTCATATGCGATGCACCGGCGATGTCGGCGATGCATTGGCGCCAACGGCGTGGCGAAAGTCGGGCTCCGCATCGAGCAGCGTCGCCGATGCATCGGCGATGCGGCGCGATTCTTCAACCCCGTCGATTGGCAGCGCGCACAAGGGGGTGGAAGGAGGGAGGAGGACTTCTTGGAAGGAGGCTGCTTCTTGGAAGGCGCCGGCCTTACATCTACAGATGAGGCCCGCGCCTTCTGAGAAGCAGGGGTGCTTCCAAGAAGCCTTCCCCCCTTCCCCCACCCCCCCGTGTGCGCGTGGCCGATACTCCGACTCCATCTGGGAGGCCTTCAACCCCCGTCCGACCGAAGACTCCCCGGGCGAGGGCCGGCACCGGCACAGCGGGCTCCAGAGACCAGCTGTCGGTGGCGGAGCACGTGTGGTACGACCAGTGGACAGGACGCCCCTGCGCGGCAGGGCGCGGCGGGAGCCGGAGGAGGCTTTCGAAGGTGTTGCTGTCTTCTCGCGACGATCAAAGATGGGTCGCACGCGAGATGGCATAGCGACCTTGCGCGGTGGCTTACGTGGGCCGCCAGCGCGGCACGCTTTATTGGAGACTAGTGCGCTTACGCGCGAGCTTATGCGGGCGGCTGACGAGCCAATCTCGGCGAAGACGACCCCATTTTTTTGCATCGCTCATGTGGGGGTGGTCGGAGGGCGCCTTGCATGAGCAGTGGCAGGCATGAATCGCATGACGCCCAGGCAAGTCGGTCATTACGAGACGGGGGTGATGGTGATGGAAGTGATGTGTGTGTGTGTGTTGTGTGTCGTGTGTTGTGTTGTGTGTGTGTTTGTGTGTGTCTGTGGGGGGGGGAATGGGCCTTGAGGCAAGGAGCTGGGAATAGTGGGGAGGGAGGGTGGGGAGCAAGCCTCCTCCTCCTCCTCCTCCTCCTCCTCCTCCTCTCCCAAAGACAACAGCCTCGACCCTACTCCTCCTGAGAGGGGTGGCGGTGGGTGGACGGCAAGGCGGGGAGCCAAGGGTGAAATACAAATAGGGCCTCGATGCGAGGCAAAAGGTTTTGCCACACCCGCCGCCTGGGGAACGGATCTCCCGTGATCCCAGAGGGAGGTGGATATGGACATCGTTGGGCCCAAGGGTTCCGCCCCACGAGGCCCCAGGACGATCGGCTCCCTGGGCGGTGGACGTAGATATAAGTCCTAGCGGTTCGGCATTGAGCGGAAGGGGGGGGAGGGGGGCGTCTGGCTC